GTATATAATGAAACTAGTATGAATGATGTGTGAAGGTAGATAAAAAGAAAAATAACAATTTATGTAGTATATAGTATAGAAAAAACTAATCTTAGTGTAAGTTAGTAATGCCAAAGCGCAAGTAAGTTAACTTTAGGTCTAGAATGTAAAATTAGCTGTAAGAAAAAGCCCCGCCCCTTGCTGCTTAAGCCGCAAGGCAGCAGTCAATGTAAAAAATTTAAAGAAAATAAATGTCCCTTCTCCACAGGGTTACTGTGGAGGAGGAAAAAGAAAGAAAGCTTAACGGAGGCGGAGCAATGTGATGAGACGTGCCATAGTGTCGTGTTAACGCACGTGCCCGAAGGGCCGGGGCCTGGGGCCTTCAACGTTCAAAGGCCCCTATATTTCTTAAAACAATATTTAGAACTAAATTTTTCAAAAAAAAAAAAAAAAAAAAGTGAAGTTACGATTAAATCCGAGGGCCGGAAAAAATGTCGTACAGGGGAGCTGGTGTTGTCGCAAATCTTTTGACATAAACATTTATTAATACGCGGAATGTTGCTGAGCATGTACGTTTTAATTTTATACTGTAAATTAAATAAAAAATTAAGACGTATTTAATTTGTAATCTTTTTAATGTAATTATACATCTGTATTCCTACGTACTTATTATGATATGTTCATTTTTTTTTGAGTAATGTTAATTGAAAACTAGAAAGACACTTTCAAAATATTTAAAAAAAATACAAAAGTACGAATGTATGTGGGTAGCGGTTTTATTATATTTCTCACGCGATGTATTGACAATAGGGCGGTGCTACGGAAGATCCGTGAACACGTAAAAGAAGGATTACCCCCAAGTAATCTCGGTTTCCCGAAGATGACCTCTCAAATGAGTGTTAAATCGGATACCTGAGGCGCGTATGGGTAATGTAACAATTCTATATCGTAGAGAAGGGATTTGAGGACGGCACGTACAGAGTATGCGAGAGGCACGCAAACTAGAGGGACGAGCATCGCCTACTCACCAGGATGCGCAGGATTTCTATATGATACATAAAAAGGGATGGGGAATCTTACTGGTTCGACTACACAAAACGTGGGAATGACAACAGAACAAGGGACGATGATCCTGAACAGAAGCTATAAATTTTCAAAATTAAAACAGATAGTA